CGATCAACGGAAAGCATTTTCATGATTAAGGTTTAGAAAAGTACATTTATCAACTACATGTTTGACGTGTTTGACCTATATGTTTTCTAACATTGTTATGATAGTAAACAGGGAATACCTCTGTTCCCACTATCATATCGCGACAATGACCTTGATAGTTTGGTCATGAAATACACTGTCATGCAGTATTGCACCATAGTGTACCACTGTGCAGCGTCAGCAGATATTCCGGGATAAATATACGAAATAGCCACCATTAACCCGTGTGTGTTTGGTGAAAGTGAACTATATCGAGTCACTTGGTTTGGTACACTCGTCAGTCAGTATCACGTTCAAGGCCGGGGCCCTTTCACTAAAGTGAGTGAGTGAGTGAGTATGATTTTACGCCGCTTTTAGCAATATTCCAGCAATATCACGGCGGGGGACACCAGAAATGGGCTTCACACATTGTACCCATGTCGGGAATCGAACCCGGGTCTTCGGCGTGACGAGCGAACGCTTTAACCACTAGGCTACCCGACCGCCCCCTTTCACTAAAGGAACGTGGCCCTACGGTGGTCGTAAGGCTAATAATAAGTACGTTAAAGCATACGAGTTGTGAAATTTGTAGCGCTACGGTGGTCGTAAGGCTGATAATAAGTACGTTAAAGCATACGAGTTGTGAAAGTTGTAGCGCTACGGTGGTCGTAAGGCTGTTAATAAGTACGTTAAAGCATACGAGTTGTGAATGTAGCGCTACGGTGGTCGTAAGGCTAATAATATGTACGTTAAAGCATACGAGTTGTGAAAGTTGTAGCGCTACGGTGGTCGTAAGGCTGATAATAAGTACGTTAAAGCATACGAGTTGTGAAAGTTGTAGCGCTACGGTGGTCGTAAGGCTAATAATATGTACGTTAAAGCATACGAGTTGTGAAAGTTGCAGCGCTACGGTGGTCGTAAGGCTGATAATAAGTACGTTAAAGCATACGAGTTGTGAAAGTTGTAGCGCTACGGTGATCGTAAGGCTGATAATAAGTTCGTTATAGCATACGAGTTGTGAAATTTGTAGCGCTACGGTGATCGTAAGGCTAATAATATGTACGTTAAAGCATACGAGTTGTGAAAGTTGTAGCGCTATGATGGTCGTAAGGCTTATAATTAGTACGTTAAAGCATACGAGTTGTGAAAGTCGTAGCGCTACGGTGGTCATAAGGCTGATAATAAGTACGTTAAAGCATACGAGTTGTGAAATTTGTAGCGCTACGGTGGTCGTAAGGCTGATAATAAGTACGTTAAAGCATACGAGTTGTGAAATTTGTAGCGCTACGGTGGTCGTAAGGCTAATAATAAGTACGTTAAAGCATACGAGTTGTGAAAGTCGTAGCGCTACGGTGGTCGTAAGGCTAAAAATAACTACGTTAAAGCATGCGAGTTTTGAAAGTCGTAGCGCCACGATGGTCTTAAGTCTATGTTAAAGTATACGATAAGATATCGCTACGATCGCTTTGTTAAACCGGGCCTAGCAACTAATACTCATGTCCATAAGTTATACAACTGCATACATCATTAGACTATATCATATATTTTTTCATGTCACGCCGTTTTTGAAAAAGAAAACGTTGAACAAGGCTTCATTACAAACATGTCCGAGATTTCATAGAGGCATCGATGCATCACCAAACAAAGCGACTTCTTCCAAGGCAATATTAAAATATAGGCTTTTCGACAATGTGTAGCAGCACAGATCGCTTTGTGGAAGTCATTTTTTTCACGGATACCCTTCACCCTGTGCGACGCCTAAATACACAGACACATACGATGCATATTGTGCGTTGTCTGTCATGGCGTGGGGACCGTCGAGTGTCTGAGCTTATATTGAGGCCAATATTGACATCGAGGATCAACCTTGGCTTGCACACCAGGTTCCTCCCTGACAAGAAGATTCGGACCACGTGTGTGTTGGCATTATGCTGCAGGGGGTATTGGCCATGGGGCATCTGTGTTGGGTGTGTAGTAGGGCGTGTGTTGGCATGTGGTTTGGCATTGTGTTTGTAAAGCTTGCGTGTTTGCATTGTGTTGAAGAGCAGGTTTGGCATTGTGTTGTAGAGCATGTGTGTTGGCATTGTGTTGTAGAGCATGTGTGTTGGCATTGTGTTGTAGAGCATGTGTGTTGGCATCGTGTTGTAGAGCAAGTGTGTTGGCATTGTGTTGTAGGGTATGTATGTTGGCATTGTGTTGTAGAGCATGTGTGTTGGCATTGTGTTGTAGAGCATGTATGTTGGCATCGTGTTGTAGAGCATGTGTGTTGGCATTGTGTTGTAGAGCATGTGTGTTGGCATCGTGTTGTAGAGCATGTGTGTTGGCATTGTGTTGTAGAGCATGTGTGTTGGCATTGTGTTGTAGAGCATGTGTGTTGGCATTGTGTTGTAGGGCATGTATGTAGGCATTGTGTTGTAGGGCATGTATGTTGGCATTGTGTTGTAGGGCATGTATGTTGGCATCGTGTTGTAGAGCATGTATGCTGGCATTGTGTTGTAGGGCATGTGTGTTGGCATTGTGTTGTAGAGCATGTGTGTTTACATTGTGTTGTAGAGCATGTGTGTTGGCATTGTGTTGTAGAGCATGTATGTTGGCATTGTGTTGTGGAACATGTGTGTTTGCATTGTGTTGTAGAGCATGTGTGTTGGCATTGTGTTGTAGAGCATGTGTGTTGGCATTGTGTTGTAGAACATGTGTATTGTCATTGTGATGTAGGGCATGTGTGTTGGCATTGTGTTGTGGAACATGTGTGTTGGCATTGTGTTGTAGAACATGTGTATTGTCATTGTGATGTAGGGCATGCGTGTTGGCATTGTGTTGTAGAGCATGTTCTAACACTAGAACTTCAGTAAACGCTAAATAGGGTGTCATTAACAGGACATAGCACGTTGATACCTGAAATGTATGCATGTAACTTTACCATAACGGAATATTCTATTTTAATCTGTCGGACTGTTTTTCCCCCGAAAGATTATATATATAGTTATATAGTTATATGTATCTATTCTGATATTGGATGTATGATCGAATCGCTACTACCTGCAACGGGTGATCTAAACTAGTTTAAGTAGATAAATATTCATGAACATATAAAACGTAGAAGAAGATTATATAAACATACGACCAAAGAGTTTCACGAGCAAACCCCCAGAACAAATCCAGAGGCATACACAGACGCTACACAACACAGACGTCAGATTGACATGTTACCCACAACCCTATTCAACAGCGGTATAATATCTCCATGTTTCTATACACAGACATTAGCACAAAACGTCCTCTCCCCACTGACAAAGCCAGTCAAAGAAGTCCCCCTCCAAGACAGGTAAGTGTCGACCCTGACAGGTCAATGACATTCAACACCAACACACAGTGTGGATTCCACCGTTCATTGACGGGGGATTGACGGAGGGTTGAGACCTTACGTTAGGGCATGACATAGACACCATGGTTGGAGACATCGTCACAGCTACGTGCACTTTAGTTAGTCATCCTCTTGATTCATACGGGTGGATTTCAATAACATCTCTAGGTTTTGAAGACTTCATTCATGCTTTAATGTCAAGGTTGGGAGCCAATGCCCTACGAATCAAATGCACACATATTATAGGGCTCTACTTGTGTTAACTACAAGCACTCCACCGCGTGAAAAAATATAGAGTGAAACAAATTTGTAAAAAAATATATAGTTATATGCCTTTGTGGAAATCATGTCACAGTGACCATATTTCACACTAACATGGCGCTCATGACTTCGCGTAATAATTCCTTTTAGTTAAACGCTTTTGGCTGAACTTGTGATCTTGAACTTTCGATAAATATGGTGGTAATTATTCAAACCCACTAGACCGGATCTCATTAACATTTTAAACCATCCATGCAGTGAATTTCCCGACGCTCAAAACCTCTAGAAAGGAAGCGCTCCTCGTCTCGGTGTTTGATAGCGTCTACACCACGCGGGAACCAGCAAACAGACGTGTTCGTTGGATTCAAAAGTCAAAACGAATACAATATTTATAGTTAAAATTAAACAACACAGGTTTTGCTTGTGCAGTGCATGCTTGACGAGCGCCCCGGGACTTGGAGTGTGCTGTCTTCACATTGGGTATTGACTCTGCCGAGAACATCATATCACACATGCAGTCTGTCAATACGACACACATTATGTCATTCACTTCAAGGCAGTGAAAACCTCTCAAGTCGGCCCAGTTAGGGTTGAAAAAAAGTTATCAGGAGTTATTTCAAGCGTCAGGCCCGACACAAAAGGAGAAAGCTGAATAGATTAAACAAACGTAGCCCACTGCCGCGAAGAGAACATTCAACCTTGAACAGAAGAATGTTCTTCTTCACATGAACATCTTCCAAGGTAGTTGTCCCTTGCGAGCTTTTCAGTTCCCATCCTTCAATGTGTTGGTTTGAACAAACAAAGCACAGAGCATCAAATGTTCAGTTGCTAGGTGTATAACAGCGCTTCTTGAGCACGAGCTTGTAATTCGATATAACGTGTCAGTCAAATTAAGCTCTTTATTTCGTTTGTAATTTGTAGACATATTACGTCTCTATTTGGTTAATGACGAGACACCGGCTACACTTCGAAGATACACTGTGTCATAAATCACCCACAAGTGAAAACTTATATCCTCTATATTGGTCTGACACACTTTGTCAATTAACACAACATATGCTGTCTACGCATTTTATTAGCTCATACTCATATTCAGTAATTGACGACACAAAGATATGCTGCGATGACAAAGCTGATCATAAACACCCGGTCTGACTAAGCTATAACATGTAGGCTGTTATCCCCTTTCAATGAAAGCGTCTACAACGCTGACACAGCGTGAATCCCCTTCGGCTGTTAATCTGTCATCATGTAACACTTACATGATCAACGGATTAAATGGTTCCTTTTGGGGATTAAGTCGTTTCTTAATCTGTTTCATTTTAATTTAATAAGGATAAAACAAATGCCTTCCTACCTGTCTGGCGTTCTACTGTGCTTGATATTATCCAGTGTATAAGTCCCTGTAGGTAAACGGTACATCCACCTATTCAAGTCAACTTATTTGCACAGAAGTAAAATAAAACGGGACTAAGAAGTTTTCCCTGCTCCCCTCCACTCACTGCACCATCCAGACAGTCCGAGCCGGAAGAATGGTTTATGGGCTTGTATACCTGGCACAGTCCACTTACTGTCGCGAGGGGAGACAGCTTGCCTAAATCTGCCAGCCGTGACAAATAAGTTAGAAATCGTAGCACGAATGATTCTTAAACCTAAGCGTTCATTCCCTATTTAACTTGAAATGGGAGTCGTGTGGCTGTGTGACATTTGGGCTTGCTGTATGACGGCTTAATCCTGCGTATCACCCCTCGTCTGACAAGGGGAGGTCGATCAAACAGGTATCTGTATCGAGACGACTGAAAATACTGGGGCATGCATCATCACAAACCGTCTCTCTCGTATCCTACCTATCGCCCTCTCGTCTTGCGAGATTAGGACGATATTAGACATACGTAATTATTAGGGCCTAAAGAAAATTTCACATTTATGGCTGGGTTTTACTGGCGCTATTAATAGCGGGCACAGGAGTTATTTGAGTGGCACATACAACCGCCACTTATCAGACGGGAACGTCAGTATTGATTGAAAGTTAAACTGATTCAGATTTAGATTAATTGGGGTTTTATAGTTTAGTAGTTCTTAAGCTCGGGTGCGCCACGCTGATTTATATTCACGGTGTATGTATGCTATGACATGTAAGGCCTGTCTTAGCGTATATAATTCTTATCGAATACAGGTCGAAAAGAGTGAAATCGTCATATGTCTATGTTTTAAAGGTTAAATGTTTTTTTGTGTAAGTGAGGAATTGGGTTACGGACATCGCTATCATGGCTGAGGGTACCAGTGATGAGCTGCACGCTGTATTAATGTGAGGAATGGTAGCCTCGTTTGGCCCCACGACAATTGTGTCGCATGTAAAGAGTTTATTCTCCGAGGTTATTACAAATTCATCTTGTTCTACAAATTATTTAGTTTTGGTGAAGGGAAAGAGACGATTCCGATATTTGCAGCATTTCTGCAGAAACATCCGGCTTCATGACGACCCACATCCACGCTGGCCATACATATCTCAGGAGACAGGGCAGTCACATCCCAACTGTTGGACACAGCAACTGAGTGACACTGGCTTCACTTCAGGACAGATACGTTTTACTATAGGTCAGAACACATCTCACACGACGGGACACACACATCCAAGCTGTTGGCCACAGCAACTGTATCACAGAACTACTTCAAGTAACGGCCCATACATCTAACTCTAGGTCAGAACACATCTCACAGGGCGGGAGAGAGACATCAAGCAGATTGACACGGCAGCTGTATCACAGATCTACTTCAAGTAACGACCCATACATCTAACTCTAGGTCAGAACACATCTCAGAGGGCGGGAGAGAGACATCAAGCAGATTGACACGGCAGCTGTATCACATATCTACTTCAAGTAACGACCTATACATCTAACTCTAGGTCAGAACACATCTCAGAGGGCGGGAGAGACACATCAAGCAGATTGACACGGCAGCTGTATCACAGATCTACTTCAAGTAACGACCCATACATCTAACTCTAGGTCAGAACACATCTCAGAGGGCGGGAGAGAGACATCAAGCAGATTGACACGGCAGCTGTATCACAGATCTACTTCAAGTAACGACCTATACATCTAACTCTAGGTCAGAACACATCTCAGAGGGCGGGAGAGACACATCAAGCAGATTGACACGGCAGCTGTATCACAGATCTACTTCAAGTAACGATCCATACATCTAACTCTAGGTCAGAACACATCTCAGAGGGCGGGACAGACACATCAAACAGATTGACACAGCAGTTGTATCACAGATCTACTTCAAGTAACGACCCATACATCTAACTCTAGGTCAGAACACATCTCACAGGGCGGGAGAGACACATCAAACAGATTGACACAGCAACTGTATCACAGATCTACTTCAAGTGAGAAACCATGTATCAACTCTAGGCTAGGACAACGTCAAACTAAGGCCAGACACATCTAGATGTGTAGGACAAGGACAATGTAATTGTAGGACAATGTCACCTATAGGACAGATGTACCTACATATAGGCCAGTCACACGTCAACTTTGACAGAAGCACTTCAACTCGGAGGCGGACGCACCCGAAACAGTCTGAGACGTCCTCCGATTACAGGGAGCCGCTGTGCACTCTTCCCTTCCCGTCTCTGATAATCTCTGATCACTGCATACGCAACCGGAAATGTCCTCACACGCATCTCATGTAATATGAGACTTGTGACACTCTAGGCCATCGGAGGAGACTAGATGTAGCCGACATCTGTGATACGTGCAGTGATAACAGCTCACCTTGTGGGTCAGAGGGGAGAAATAATCACCTGCCCCTACCCTCATGGGAGGGGAGTGTTAGGAAGGGGGCAGTCCGGGAAATGTCAATCAAATGGTCTTCTTTGTATGGATACCAAATCACCGCGTTATCGCATAAATATAATCGTTGTCGAATTGTTAGATTGCGTTTCCTTTTGGAACATTAACAAGGTCAAATAATAGTTTCGTAGAGTGGCTAGATGAGTAATTTTGTTTTAACGTCAATGTTGGATCTGCATGCATAACAGCAACATGCAGGTCTAAGAAGAAGTCGCTGGGGTGGCTTCAGATGCTGGCACCCTTGCCGAGTGAGTGAGTTGGGTTTAACGCCGCTTTAACAGTATTCCAGTTATATCACGGCGTGTCAGCTTAATGTTGGAGTAAAGCCCGAAGTGATGCAGGTCTCAGACGTTTACCACTTCGGTGAAACCCACGAGCACTGTTATGGTGCTGACAAACCTAGAAACATAATCTGGGTGAACCGGGATTCGAACCCACAATCATAGGTTTTTGGCGTGTCCAGGGGACGCAACTCTGCACAGCGAATCGCGGCGCCTCAGACGACTGGGCCACCCGTGCCCCCCGTCATGGTGAGGTGAGGTGAGGAGACACAGTATCCTGACTCCGAGCCGACCAGTCCTTGTCTTAGCCCCTTAATGCCGAGCGCCAGACAAGGTAACAACAAGTACCATCTTTTAACGTCTTTTGGTATGACGCGGCCGGGGATCGAACCCCGGACCTTCCGCTCTCCGGGCGGACGCTCTACTACTAGACCACGGAGGCGGTCTTGCCGTCATGGGAAGTCTCCTCACGGGAAACACTTTTGACCACGTCCAAGAGGATTACATCTTGACCTGAAGCAGGTTTCGTAGGTGTTCATTTGACCGGTCTTATGTTCGTAATTAACTAATATTGAAAAGAGTGCTGAAATTACTTGAGGATTATCAATGGTTGAGGTACACCATGTTAATTTAATGATTAAGGAAAGTCCACAGATTAAAGCTTTGATGAAAGCCATTATAAATATTAATATTTTAATATATTACATAACGGGTTCATATATGTAAACGTATCTCAAAAGCCGCTTAGAGTCTGGTCTTAAATATAATATGTTGTTTTTTCCTGTCTCATGTGTGTGTGTGTTTGTGTGTGTGTGTTTGTGTGTGTGTGTGTGTGTGTGTGTGCGTGTGTGTGTCTGTCTGTCTGTCTGTCTGTCTGTCTGTCTGTGTCTCTGTCTGTCTGTGTCCCTGTCTGAACACTCTGATCACTGTTCGTGGTATATCACAACAAGCACTTTGGAGACAAGACATTGGTGTGGTTACTAGATAGTTAAACCCTTCTCCCCGCAGGCTATTGCTAACACGTTGTTATAAGCCAAATCTGCTTACTGAAATTATGCCACTCTCACTAGTGCCTGGATTGGAGATGAGGGTGAGCTAGGTTTAACGCCGATGTGAACACTATTTCAACTACAGCCTGAACGTTCTAGTCGTTTACCTGTGTGGTAAAACCCACGAGAACAAAGCAGTAGTCATTATCAGGAAGAATATGAAATACCAACTAACGATCATCGGATCCTGAAACGCAAAAGGGACGCAACTTTGCGCAGCGAATTACAGAACCTCAGACGACAGGGCTACTAGAAATATATAAGCCACAGTGAATGTAAAATCCCTCAAAATTCAGGGATAGTGAGTAAATATCGTTTCTCTTAAGGACTTTGCATAATTCCTAAATGTGCACGTGCACTGTAGCGTATGTACAATGTTTACATATTCCCTGAAGTTATATAGCTTATGGGGGCACGGGTGGCCCAGTCGTCTAAGGCGCCGCGATTCGCTGTGCAGAGTTGTGTCCCTTGGGCACGCCAGAAACCTATGGTTGTGGGTTCGAATCCCGGTTTGCCCCGATTATGTTACTAGGTTTGTCAGCACCATACCCGTGCTCGTGGGTTTCACCGAAGTGGTAAACGTCTGAGACCTGCATCACTTCGGGCTTTCCTCCCACATTAAGCTGACACGCCGCAATATAACTGGAACACTGTTAAAAGCGGCGTTAAACCAAACTCACTCACTATACAGCTTATGTCACATAGATATGCTAAAGACAGCTTTTGAGAGTGGTTGTAGCGTCTCTGCCTTTCCAGGTAATGATTGTGACTTTGTCACGTTTTACTTTCTGTGGCGACTTTGTTTCTGTTTCTGTTAGCTAATGTGATAATTGCGTTGGCTGACAAGTGGATTGAGAGCTGCAGTTAGTGACAGTGCAGCAGTTGACGCCGCGGCAACAGGACCTGCAGCAACCTCACCTACATCCATCACACGCCTGGTTAAACCTGAAGCAGGACTTCGTCAGTAGCAGCTTAATGTATTTACGCTGCCAGACGTGTATATATTAAACCGGTAAAGGCGGAGGACAGTGGACCTACTCCATGGCGTTGTTATACTTGTAAATTAATGATCGTCTACGGCATTCATCTACCTGTCCAGCCACCAGAACACATGTCCTCCCTCTTCCCTTATTAGCTAATTACAGGTAATTTTAAAAGTGACGATTCGCCGGAAATACGTTCACGTCTTACATAGCATACATACATTTGACAGATGGCTTAAACTGCAACATATTATGTGAAAGAGGGTCGACAAACAGACAAGGTCTTTATTCAAATGCCTCTCAACTTAGAAAGTATATTAATTACAAGAGTATGCTCATTGCATTCCATCGGTTCAAAAGAGAAGAAAACGATGGACAACCATCAGAATTTGGCAACTGTTATTAATACAAAAAGTCAATGACAGAGAATAACCAGTCTTGATTATCCGCCGAAACAGATTCCAT